CATCATAGATATGTAGTCACTCTTCAGTTGCCTGGTTTAGTGTTGGTGTGCCTTACAGTGCTGGGTACCTCTGCTCAAATGAAAAAATTGGATGAGTTAAATCACTTTAAAAGATAGTTTGGAAAGTTACTTGAAAAGTATTGTTGTAAAGTTCTATACTGAAGGATTACTCCAAAAATATACTTGAAGCCCATTCAGTAAGTGATGTTATGCTCATAATGGTGTGGGGATGTTTGGAGATGCCCTGGTAGTTCTCACAAGCTTTTAGTGTTTTTAAGAACAGCTAGACAAAAGATATTGTTCCTCCACTCTAATTACCAGCGACTTCTTTTTCCCTCTGTGCTCTTATTCATGAAAATACTTTTCCTCCAAGAATTTCTGGGCAGTACTTCCTCGAAGTGTTCAAACTATTCTTCAGACTTCAAGCTAATCTTTAAAGAGTTGATATTGCCAGTTACACCGGATCGATCACTTATGTCCTGGGATCTTGCCAATGAGTGTCAGGATTGCTCTTGCCTTGTCTGGTAATTCTAACCACTTCCATTAAACACAGCTCTTAACCCCCTCTGATGTTGCCCACCCCAAGAATTCAGTGTCCTGTTTGCAATTCCACAAGCAAGCCATCAAATGCCAGCACCATCTCCTGGGTAATCTGCTTAAGGTGCAGAATCTCATCTTGGCCCCTTTCCTTTTGTTTAGGGTCAGAGCCCTGCAGCTACAGCTGGACAGGGGGTGGGCAACCTCAGAGTAAACAGTGCCAAACAATGCATTTGATCAGTGGCTTGCCTGATAAATGGCTTGGCTGTACTTGGGAAGCAAACCTCGAGCTGTTCCAGTCAGCATGTCTCTGGAGAAACAGCCCTTAGAAATTCAGTTTTCACTTAATAGATTCTGATTAATTTGTTTGTTTCCTTTCTGTCTTTACAGATTCACTGCCTTCTCTGTAATGCTCTTAATTATAGACTTAAATTCCAAATCTGTGTATTTAAAAGGAAAAAAAAAAACCTTGAAAAAATGTTTTAAAAGCCAAGAAAATATAGAAAGCAGGTGTTGCTTTAGATTCATATATCCGAGTTCCAAATCTCTGAAGCAGACTGAATAACTGAAAGGATTTTATGTCTGGGAAGACAGTTTTGTTGATAGCTGCACAGCAAGGGGATAACTTCTCATTAGGCACTGGGATTTAGATCTGGAAAATGCTGTCTCATCCCTTGCCTGCTGGCAATGCGCGCTCATGTGTGTGCAGCTGCTCTGGGGGAAGAGAGCACAGGGACAAGAGTGTCAGGAGGGGACTGCAGGGCTAGAGAGCAATTCCTTTTGCTGGTCTGTCCGTCAGAGGGAGAAGATGAATTCCTGTTGCCTGTATTTTTAATGGTTTGCTCAAAAGCTATCAGTGGTATTCGACAGCAGAGATCAGTCACAGAAGATCGCTGTACTGGCAGCACTCTGTGCACTGCGTGTGGCTCATCCCTCTGTGTGTTCCTGAAAAATGGTTCATCTCTGGGTTATTTATTCCCTGGCTAAGGAAATTAGCTCATTACCTATGCAAACATGCATGGAGGGATTCAAGTCATAAACTGTTTTCAAAAGGATGTCAGACAACTGCTTGTTTTCGTTAGGGCATGGAAATGACAGATCTGTGACAGTTCTCCTTTCTGCATTTTGAAGTTTTCATAAATGGAGAGAGAGAGAGAGGAAGGATTTCTGTTTATATTTAGAAAGGTTCAATCCTGTTACTGTTAATATTATTTTTCATAGAAAAACCTTCTGGACAAAGGATATTTACCAGCCACAAAAGCAGTCTGTCTTTCCTTTCCTTACCTGTCTTTCAAACAATATTATATACAATTTAAATACTTCAGTAGAATATGACCAAATCACACTCCTTTCATCCAGCAAAATTACTTTGTCAGCTGTTAGTCTCCAGCATAAATTCATTGTTAAAGGACAAGGTTAAGGCTTTGTGGGCGGAATAGCTTGCAACTGGGAAAATTCAAGAAGGAAGAGACCCTAATTAAGTAAAATCCTGTTTAATCTCATGCAGGCACAAAGAAAAAGACAGTAGAGGACAGGGACTGTTGATTTCTGCTTTGCATTCTTTTCTTTGCCTTGCATCAGTGTTTGGGAATAGGTAGACTTGAGTTAGAATTCTCATGTCCATATTCCAGAACTGCTGGCAGACGTTGCACAGATCTGCTTCCAGGTGTCAGCCACCAACACCCAGGGACAGGTGGAGGCACATGAGAGGTGGGGAACTGCTCCTTTCAGGGGAAGTTTCAAGAAACTGTGCTGTTATCCAGCAACAGGCCAGGTCTGAGCAGACAGAATTCACAATTTAAATGAACAGCAAGTGGATGGTTTGTCATTGCACAAGTCAAGACAAGGCTTTCTTTTGGTATTATGCAGATCAGCCAAATGCAGATTTGTTTACAGTGATGTAGCTCAACTGGCTTCTCCTAGTGTTACAAGGCAGAAAACAGAGAAAGAGAGGTTGCTGCCAGGTGAGATAGGAACCTGGGGTCTCTGAATTGCCTTTCTCTTTAGCTGCTGATTATCTTACCTGATACGAAGGGGGAAACCTTACCAGGCAGAAAGTTAAGTCCCTAGAAAAATCTTAAAGCCAAGGTAGCTTGTGTTAGCTCTTGTTGTTAGTTTTGTCTGAGGCAGGATTGGCAACAAAGTGGGACTGAATCCTCTGCTTTGAGTAGCAGGATCCTGCAGTCACCTGGAGGTGGCAAACACTGAGGAGCCATTATGGATGCTTGCCCTGTATAGATCACCTACGATGTTGTCTTGAGTCCAGAGCTTTCCTAAAAAGGTTTCAAGGTAAAACAATGCCTGTGCAAATCTGCCTGCTGCTTGGGAGGGATCCAACAGCATTGAAATGTGTCTTGTGAGCCTTTTCTCAAGGTCATCGGGACAGAAGGCAGGAAAGGAGTATCCCACTTGAGTATCAGCTAATTCAATCTGGTGGTGATTCATGTTTCACATCCCAGGATGGCTTGGTATTTCATGTATTTGTTACCTTTTATAGCAATGCAAAATACGTAAAATTGAATTGTACAAATCACAGTGACAGAACAATGGCTGAATGAAATCAAGATATACTTCTCACTCAGCCTTATCAGCCTTGGTGTTCTGAAAATATCAGTAAAACCCATAACCCTGGGAATATCTGTACTCTACTGGTCTTTAAAAGCCTGGTCAAAAAAGTAAATAGGCCATGGAGCAGATCCCAAAAATGGTAAATTCATTTTTTTAACAAACGTAGTTAAAACAAGATTCCTGCCTGTGCCTAGTAGAATCAATGGCAGTTTTGTGACTGGCTCCAGGAGCAGCGAGGTTAGACACTGTTGTATGGCTCAGTAAGGTGCAGATATCTTTAACTGAGAGCACCTTGGGGGAATTTTGACAGATGATAAGAAAAACCTTTTCCACTTCTTACTGCAAAATTCTGGAACTATGTGAGCTCCTATAACAATTGGTATGCTGTGCTGGTCTTCCTCTGATTCCTGCACTTTTTAAAATTAACAATTGATAAATTCATTAGTCTGACAGAGATTTGGCTCCTTTATGTTCAGATGGAAATTTGTTCTTCGTTTATAAGTAAGGAGACTTATTTGTGAGAAAAGGTATAAGAACTGGATGTTTTATTTCCCAGATCAACAGCTTGTCAATAATTTCAGTGTGGGGTAAAAAAACCACTTCCAAAAACTGAAGCATTATTCTTAGTTCTACAGTAAGAACTATGTCTGTGTACATGTCTGATGTACGTACAGATACAACATTTTTTGTTCAGACTTTTTTCTGTGTGGTCATTCCCCATCTGACACTTCCAGGCTGATAACTCGTGGCAGCAGTAGCTTGCAGACCACTGCACTTCATGACACTGTGGTGTGCTGTCTTTCCAAAGTGCAGCTCAGCCTCTGAATTTTATATTCTGTTTGCCTGGTGAGGAAAAACAGACAAAGTAGGTCATTCTTTGGGCTCAAAGGCTGATGCAGTGTGGCTTCCATAGTTTCACATCTGGCACTATTAAAAAAAAAAACAATTTAAAAATCACCTTGCTGCAGCAACAATTGCTTTCACCGAACTTCATTTTGCTGGTGGGGAAATAGCTGATTTGGGCCACCCAGGACCTACTTTAGAAAACACTCCAACTTGAGTTTAACTGCAAGTGCATTAGAATATCCAACTGTGATTAATGATCGTGTATTTTTTCCTAGCCAGGCCTTGAGGCAGTATGGATGCTCTGTAAGATTTCCCCAGTCAGTTGTGTGCTGGCTGCTCTGGCCCTGCTGTGCTCTGCAGCACCAGCTCTGACGTGAGGGATGGTTTTGGTGTGAGATGTTGTCTCACTCTGCGGCGGCAGAGCAGGGCTCTGTCTACAGCAACTCAGAGAAACAAATAGGAAACAGGATTTCCCCCAACAGGCGTCTGATTTTTCAGAAATGGACTGTTGTAATGGGATGTACAGCTGAGCAAACTCCACGATTTGTACAAAATGATTTCACACTTGACAAACATAGCAGGTGGGATCTCAAGCTCACTTCACCTGGGCACCAAAGCTGTAGCTGCTTCCCTTTTTCTCATCATTTACTAGAAATAATGTTCTTGTTACCATTTTGTGCAGGGTGGGTTCTGGTAACTGCCTTGACCCTGTTTGTTTTGCTACAAATGCTGTCAGCGTTTGGTGCTCTGCACCCTCTGGGGCCCAGGAGAGCTGGTGTTTGGCTCCTGCTGCAGCCTCAAGGAAGATGCCCTTTCAGGAACTCAGCTCTTCTACTAAATTCTCCCTCTTCTCTGAGACCATCATTCACTGAGAGCATTGCAGCATATTTTAAAAGCTCTGTCTGTCTGGAAATTCTCCAGACAGCTCCTTACCTACTGCTGTCATCGTCCTCCTCTCCCCCTCCCTTCTTAAAGGTTCCTAAGCAGATCTGTATCATTAATATTTCAGTATCAGCTGTACACAGGCATTGGCTACACTGCAGCACACTTCATCAATAAGAGCCAGCGAGGGCTGTGAGCTTTGCCACACTCCCTTCATCCAGCACAGGAGGAAGAGCAAAGGCAGAGCCTGCCAGAGAAGCAGAGTATCTGCCGAGGGTAGGGCTGCATCTCGCAGTCCCAGCCTTGAGGGGCTTTTTGCTGCTTTTGCTCCCTCATTCGGATCATCCCAGATAATACCCTAACAAGCAACAAGAATGGATGTCTTTAAGAAAGGTTTCTCCATTGCTAAAGAAGGTGTGGTGGCTGCTGCAGAGAAGACCAAGCAAGGAGTGACAGAGGCTGCAGAGAAGACCAAAGAAGGGGTAATGTATGTAGGTAAGAGAGAACTAGTTTTGATCTACTTTTGAGCATGAACAGCTGCATAGATTGTCTCTGAGAAAGTCTGGGGAAATGATATTGTGGCTGAAGCTTGGGAGTGACTAGCAAGATGGTCTGGATAAGATCCTGAGCTCTGCAAAGTTGCTGTGTGAACCTGGGCTACCACAGCCTCCCCATGCCTCAGTTTCCCCAACTGTAAGTTAGACAAGGAAACCTCTACTTCAGGGAAGGCAGAACGATGTTAAGGAGCAAATGCTCAGGTGTAAGGTTTATTTGACTATTCACTGATTGTTTGCAGGGTGAGTCAGGCACTCCAGACAAATGAGCACTGCTGGTCTCTGCCTCACCTCCACACTGGGAGGGACTCACTGAGGAGGTCCCTGAGAGGAGCCAAAGGTGTTGGTAAGAGGGCATTGCAGGATGCATCTGTTTCCCCACAAACAAATGGGTTTGTCCTGAAATCCTTCTCCTCTTTCATTGCCCATGCACACATTAATCTTGCTTTACAAGAGACGCCCAAATTCCTTTTGCCCAAAGAATAGGATCTGGAAAACAGTGTGCCTGGTGTCCTGCCTAGAGATCTCTTTCACAGTTAATGGGCTGAAACCTCCCCTTCCAAGGTCACCCTCGAAACCCACTCTCTCCACTTATCTAGCACGTGCAATTATATGGCTGGATGGTCAGATATTCCATATAATACAAACTAAAGAGTTGTAGGTTCCCTGATTATCTCACTGCTGATTAGTGCATTTCACACAGCTCTTTATTTTTGGTGGATGTGGGAGTGTTTCTTTTTATAGGAAAGTTTACATGCAGGCTCTTCCTGCTATCATGCAACATCCACAGCTGTACTTAGCTACTATATTTAAAACTGCTCTATTGCCAATAGCTACAGATATATATTTGTACGTTGCAAATTAAATATAAAATTTGTATGTAGCAGGTCTGGTAATGTTTTATCTTGAATTTTTAAATACTTTGTTATTGATATGCTGGAAATGAATGGATGTGATAGTTCACATTTCAATTTGAAGCTGACCCACAAGAAAAAAAGGTAAGCAGCATTCCTGTAAACAGCTGAACTAACTACAGTAAGTGAAACACCAGTCTAAGAAATGTCACATGAGTGTCACATTGCAACATCATTACTGCTCCACCTGCTTCCAGGTCTGAGTTGTGTTGGGGTTATTCAGATTTTTTATACACATGATTTCTCACATCTCTGTTCAGTCACATTGTACAGCTCCATACTGTGACCTGCTTTTCATTGTTGCACAGCCAAGAGGTCTCTTTAGGAGAGTCTAGTATTTTCAATAAAGTTTTCTATGAGTCTGAAACTAAAAGCCTTGAAACCTTCATCTCTGAATGAGGATCAAATAAAGATCAAGGTGAGGATGAAGTCCTTTCTCCTTTTATTGGTTTGGTTTGTTGGTATACTGCTGTTTTCTGCCCTGTCATGCAAGGGACAGAGCTTTGCCTTGGCCTGATTCAGTTCCTGTTGGGAAGCTCCTCCCTTTAGGGAAAATTCAGTCTTTTACAGGCAGGAGAAGAAAAGGCCAGATGCTCATTAGCTCAGAAAATGGGGGTTTTGTTTTAATAGCCAGAGAAGGTAGAGATGTGGTATATCGGTTAAAACTGGAATGATTAGTATGTTGTTCATGCTGCCTTTTGTCACTCTGGGCCACATAAAGAGTAAATCAGAGACCTGAACTATTCCTTCCTTGCTTCTTCCCTAGCAGAGCCCTACCCCAGCAGCTTCATCTAGAGCATTAGGTGACTTGAATTTTTGGATGCTAGGAGAGAATTATACTGTATTGAGCCTCAAGGGTCTTTTGAGAACAAAATCCCCAGGGCCTAGGATGGATAAAGTGGATCCCTGACTGTTATTTAGGTTTGTGTTAACTCGTTGCTGACTCTCTGAGGAGAATTCCAGATGTCTGGGCACAATCACCACATCTGGTGAATCACTTGCTGCTGCCCAGGATAAGAAATAATGCTCACTCAGAGGCACCTGTCTGGAGTGAACAGCATCACTGGGACACTGTGGCCACCTTGTCCCTGCTCTGATTTGTACAGGTTCAGCTCCCACAGCCCCTGCCAGAGCAGGAGATGCCTCCCTCTGTGCTGAGCCTGCAATGCGGTGCTCCTGCCCTGCCCTGGCCTTGCTGAACCGGTGGGGTGGAGAAGAGAGTACACGAAAGGAGGGAGAAATCCTCTCACTTTCATGGGTCACCTGTGCACCTGGTGAAATCACCATCTGCTCTCCCAATTCTAGCAGCCTCTGAGTGTGCTGAAGTGTCAGGAGATCCCCATGGTTAGTGTGGATCCAGCAGCTGGTTCAGTGGGCTCTCTTTTTGGTTTGATTTGAGGTGTAAGTGATGCTGAAGTTAATTAATGAATTTAATGCAAAGCTTCATCAGAGTGTTGAGTCATTAGTACTGTTTAATGCTATAGTTCAGGAGCCTCAACAAAGAATGCACTTCTAGTTTTCTAGAATGGTTTTCAACGGTGTGTGTTGCAGAAAGCCCCAACACACCGAGCTGTGTTTACACTGAGTGATTCCTGCAGGAGTTAATGCACATAAAAATATCCCTTTGTACTCTAGACCTTCTCCAGGGCTTAGCACTCCACCACCTCGGTCCCACCCTGGCGGCCCCAAAGCTCTTGCGGATGAGTCACGGCACTCAGAAGAGGCAGGATGCATGAACTTTTAATTCTGGGTACAGAAGCTGCAGGCAAGGACTAATGAGTGAAATGAGATTGAGCATCAGGTGATTGCTTTCTGGTTCAACAGATGCGGGTTGCTGGCAGGAGCGTGCTCGGGAAAGTCGCGTTTCGTGCGGTGCATAATGGAAGGGAGCCTGAGTCATCGGGTGTGGCTGGGCTGGGAGGATGGGGCGAGCTCTCCCCAGGCTGCAGCAGTGACTCTTCCCAATGACATTGCTCCTGTCATGAAATGGATTCGGGTGTTTTTCTTCTATCTGCATCCCTCCTTTCTGGAATTATTTTCCATCTGTAAATATAGCACCTGCCCGCTCCCCTCCCCCATAAAATAATTGCGCCCAGAGAGTCACCTTAAAAGTCTGGCAAAAAACATGCAAAAGTGCAGCTCTTTTAGTCTCCCTTTTAGTCTCACTAAGCATGTTTACTGCAAAACTGCAAAGGCATGAAAGGCTGGTACAGCAAATCATGTACTTTGCTTACCTCTCACCTGCTGTTTGACCAAAAACCAGCGAAGGGTTAAGCTTGAGCATCTGAGTCTGATATGAGACAACCTTGTATGTCAAATCAATATCGTGGCAGTCTTTTCTTGGAATGGTACTGGGAGGGAAAACAAAGCAGGATGGTGTCTGAATTGAACCTTCTGTGTTTGGCCCATTCAGGGGCTCACGTTCGTGGCTTGAGACTTGCACCTGCTCTGCTCAGTGCTGTGCTTCTGCACATGTTTGTGTATGATGGGCACCATTATTAAATCCAGTTCACAGCATCACTAGGAACTGCAGCTTACAGCAGTAACAACTTAAAGGTACAAAGATTTCATCTCTTGACTTGTAAGACAGTTTGAGAGGGTGGAGTGAAATGTTGAGGGCCCATTGTGGTAGAACAGTTTTGTTCTAACCCAGGCAAACATTGCAACCACCAAAATAAATCAACAATTGAGAACTGCATTCAATAATACATAACATGTATCAGGCAGAACAGAGCTGGGCTGGACCTGTTGTTATCAGGGCACTGCACCTGTTTTGGTTCTCAGGCTGTTAATGAGAATGAGCTGTGGTTTGTAGCTGATTTCTCCCACTGCACCCATGGATGCTCCACTATCATGGAGTCAAAAATCTGCCTAGTTATTGCCCATTTTTATAATTTTGATAGTTGGCCATAGAAATTCCTTTGTATCAGTATGGAAAACCTGAAGAGAACTTGTGTAGGTGCAGATGATTTGCAATATACAGTAAAGTGGGACCAGTGGAATATTTTGGCTTGTGCTTATTTAACTTCCAAGAGAGATAAATTAGATCCTTAATTTTTTTTTAATGTGTAGAGTATCTAGTTAGCATGGGGGCTGCCCATCTACCATATGATTTAACTTGTCTGCAGCAGTATCAAGTAGGAGGGATATATAGCTTGTCACTTCAAGCGTGGAGGAAAATCACAGAGATTAATTATTCCTTAGGGCTATTTGTGTTGCAAACTGAATGCCTTCACATCCTGTTAGCTTTTCTGCATTAAGAACAGCGAGATAAATTACAATGTAAGCATACATATGGTGTATTTTCATAATTTGAGATAAAACCATCTGCTTTCTGTGTATTTCTGTGAGCAGGCACTTACAGCCTAGGCTGAGGCAGCAAACTGGGAATCTAGTAAGTAGGTGCGTACTAAGTGGGTGGTGGTTCTGTAAATTCAGTTTCAGGTTTCTTCAGTCTTTATTAGTAGAATAGAATGAGACACTAAATGACCATTGCAGCCAAGTATCCTGCTGAAAGGCAGGGGAGAGTCATGGATGTGACTTCTTGTCATGCAAGAGTGAAGTAGGTGAGATCTTACCAGGTCATTTTATTTACAGTAGTTTTTACAACTAGCTTAAAGTTGATTTGCCACTACTCAACTGCTCATTTTGGAAATATTGCAGGGATAATTTTTCGTAATTAAGATTTTTCAGATCTAGGCATCTCCAGAGGATTTGCTGTTGAAGCTCTCCAACTCTCAACATAAAGGTACTCATTGGCTTTAATGGGGAGGGAAGCTGGTCTCTTTTCTGACTCCACAAATGCTTTGTGTCTGAGCAGAAGGTACCAGCAGCACCTCAGCTCCCCACTGCACTTCCTCAGAGCAGGAAGCCATCTATGTCCAGAATCAGGGTGTAATTTTCAGGCAGCACTGATGGATTGTGTTTCCTTTCACAGGCACCAAGACCAAGGAGGGTGTAGTGCAAAGTGTGACCTCAGGTAAGAGCACAGGCTGAGAGGGATGTGGAAATCTGTGGTGATTGTTGGACCTGTTGGGAAGGCCATCACCCCTGCCAAGGGGGAGGTCTCTGTGGGACACCACTGATCTGCCTGACCTTCCCACTGATGAATGCAGGCTGCTTGCCAGGAGTGATGGTTCAGGGTCTGGCATTTGCAGTGGACACGGATGGGAGAAAATATTTAATCAGCAGAGTAGGTAAGAAAAAATCACAGAAAGGTTACTTGGCACACTGGGATGATTCACAGCAATTTAGACATTTCACAATGTCAGGTGCACAGCCCAACATGCAGAGAGGATTTACTTGCAACAGATCCTGTCTGGCCAAAATTGGTCTTTGGAAGAGTCCTGTCAGGCATTTGCAGAGTCAGGGACCCAAAGGGCTCCTTCTAGGGTATCCCCAACTCCAAGGCAGAGCAGCCGTGTGGACTGTCCTGAAAGAAGATGAATGGATCGTTTCCCTGGAGAATTTCAAAGCTATTGTTTTTTTCTGCCAAGGGCTATTATATCAAACAGAAGGTAACCTGAAAGAGGTCATGCACAGTCTGCAATGCAAAATACCTTATTTACACTGTTGTCCCTTAGTATCAGACAGTGGATTTTTCATTCTTCAGTTGCCCACAAAGACTGACAGGCTGCAGTGCTGCTCTCTAAGCAACATTTTGTGCCAGACAAAAATCCTCACGTATACGATCTAAATTCAGACATGATCTCATCTAAAAAGTCCAAACAAGGACTGCATCAGGACTAATTTCTTCTTTTAAATCAATGTAATCATTTTGTCATTCCAGGGAACTTGGCAGCCTTCTAGCAGTGTCTAGTTTGCTGACTTTTCTGCTTTTGTTGAAACTGCAGTTGCTGAGAAGACCAAAGAGCAGGCCAATGTGGTGGGAGAAGCTGTAGTAGCCAGTGTGAACACAGTGGCAAGCAAGACTGTAGAAGGAGCAGAGACCATCGTGGCCACTACAGGAGTTGTAAAAAAGGTGTGTTTGTTTATTCTTTACAAAAAAGGTGTGTTTGTTTATTCTGTGATGAGCAGGACAGAAGAACCTTTGGATTACACTTAAACTACCTGCAAACATTTACAGTTGATGGTTTTACTTATTTCGCGGAAGGTTTTCAGCAATATCTGCTTTTGTATAATACTTAATATTTTCATATAGTGCTTAATACAGTCACAGAATAATTTAGTTTGAAAGGGACCCCTTGAGATCATATAGTCCAACCCCCTTGGGCCAACGAGAGAGGACTGTCCCACTGGGTTTTGAATATCTCCATGGAAGGAGACTCCACAATATCCCTGGGCAACCTGTGCCAGTGTTTGACCACCCTCATAGGAAAAAAGAGAATTGTTTTCTTCTGTTCAGATGGACACATTAATCACCTGGTGCCTACTGTCTCTTGTCCCATCAGTGGGCACTGCTGGCAAGAGTTTGGCTCTCCATTTTCTTATGAATGTAGAAAATCATTTTTCACTGGGACTTGAGTAGAAATGTGTGTGAGTTGCAGTGAGCATCTGGGCTGAGTCAGAGTGGGAAGGCACAGGAGCCAGCACTTGCCCTCACCCCTGTGCCGGGCTGGCGGGTGCCCAGGCTTCCCTGGCCATTGGCAGCTCCAGAGGCAGCAGAGGGCAGCAGCCAGTCAGGCACAGCCTGGTTCCAGCAGAAAGCCTGACCCTGCTGCTCTGCTTCCTGCTGCTTTGACAACAACCAAGTGCTCGTTGATAGAAGGCCGTGTGACTCAAATTGTGCACGGATTATGCCAGACTCAGACAAGGCATCTTCTGTCCTCCAGCCTAATTTGGCAAAAGGGGCTTCTTCAAGTGAGGGGATTGAGGGCCGTGTGAAGGAGCAGAACAGCTCCTTAGACGAAGGCAGTATTGATCATTGAGAAGATGCTGTGGTAACAAACAGCACCCATTTGTACAGCAGAGGCCAATACTTGGCAGCTCTTTGGTAAGCCTTTCCTCTTTCCCCTCTACAGAGAGTGTGATCCGTGCTGTTGATGGCCACATGAGCTTTATGAGTCACAACAAACCCAAACCCAGAATCAAAGCGATGCCAGGCTGGCCAAAATTGTTTTAATTGTTCAGATAGTCAGCTGATTAATTTCCTGACCTGCACATAAACACATTGTGATGTGAAACAAAACTTTTACACAGCATATAAATCCTGAGAGAATAGGCTAACAAAAGAGGGGAACAGCAGCTACAAGTGACGCAAAATGTCCTCCTGAAAGCATGTGAAAAGGGCAGATACAGGAGTTCTGCTAAGCCCTTGGGATAAGTTTAATCTCTGTTCCCACAGGGAACAACAGTTAGGCTGCAGGAGTGCAAACAGCAGTTCCTAATTCCATGGAACCAGAATACCCCTTCCTACCTTTAGACTGACCATGGGGTGATTGACCCAGGAGAGTGAGGAATTTGCTGATGGTAGGAATCCCTGCTGCAGATAGTGAGCCATGTCCCCTCCAGCAAGGACTGAGCAGCAGCAATCCTCTTCCCCTTTCCTCCTAAGTGAGAACCCCACCTCAAAGACTGACAGCTGCAGTTTACAGCTAATTTCAGAACTTAAACCAGTGCAGGTTTTCCAGAGGGCATCTGAACTGTTATTCTGATGTCTTCCGTTGATGTCTGATTGCTTAAACTTAAAATGGAGATTGATTAAGAAATAAAAAATTAGGATGTGTCACATGCTAAAGGACAGACTAAATGGAGCCAGGAAACTGCTTTGGATACAACATCATGGTGTCATGCCAAACAACAGAGGTGGGCAGCAGACTGAAAACAGGAGGAGAAAAACAAGACAAATCACAGGAGAAAAAATTCAGGAAAAACTTTCATTTCTGTGAAAGAGGGTTCATCTGTTCTGCTGGTTTAGTTCAACTTAGAAGTGCAAATCTTTTATTCATACTCACCTTTTAGATCCAGGTAGACACAGAAGATTGAGCTCCACATGCACATCGAGTGCATCCCCACTGCCAGTGAATAATTGCCATGGAGCCAAAGCTGCTCCAGAGGGAGGGCCTTGAAAGGAGTATAAGGAGCTGTGCTGGGCTCTCAGCACCCGCTGTTTTTTCTCCAGAACTGCTCCTATCATGGTACACAATTTGCTAATGGAAATACATCCAGAGTCTGCCAATAGCAGCACCAGGCACTGTAATGCATGTGGAAGACCCTCTGGAGATACACTAAGTGATAATGTGTAGCTTTTAAATGTTTAAACAGTGGATACCCGTTGTTATAATCCTGCAGTCCTGGAATCATCACAAGCATTTCAGCCCCAGAAGTTTGACAGAGCATCCAGTTGCATCCAGTCCTGAGGCTTGTTTGTGTTCCACACCATCCTTCCTCTTTCTAATTACACAGAGCACTTGCCAAGATCTTATTTAGGTTTCAACTATCTCCAGTGTTGTCCCCTGCTGTAGAAGGGCTGTTCAAAGTGTCAGGGATCTGTGAATGCATGGCACTGAGCAGTGCTGGGGTGACTCGGGGCTGAGCACTCGAGGGGCCTAGAAGGCATGTCCTCAGCTGACTGCTCCCAGCATTAATATCAATTATGGAGAGCTTGTTGACACTTAATCTGTGCATTTGACAGCTGGGATCAGTGGCAGGCACACATTATGAAAGAGAGGGGTACCCTAAGGCTTTTGGGCAAAGTTTTGCTCAGGATAGCTGTAGGGTGCAGGTGTATTAGATGGTGACTTTGGCCACGGGAAAGAATTCAGCCCTTTGTTGCATCATGGCAGGCACTGAAATGTGAGCCCCCTGGCAGCCTGCTGCTCCTTACTGCCTTTGGGGGCAGCACTCAGAGCCACGCAGAAGGAAATGGGGCTGAAGTAACCCTACACTTATGGAGGGGTGCCAAGCACCAGTGAGAACAGCCTTGAGTAGTGCTGGCAGTGCCTGACAGGGCTTTGGCACTGACCTGGTCACTGCTGTGTACAACAAAGTATTGACTCATTTGGGGGAGTTTTTAAGCATCAACTAAAAAATCTGTAAATTAAGAGATTATAAACCCTCCACAATTTTTCTGATACAAAAAAGAATGAAAGCAGTCAGAAGGGTGTTCTGTCTGTGGCTTTGTACCCATCCCCATCCCTGGGGTGGGCATTAAGAGATTCCAATGAGATAACCACTCACTAAATATCCCTGTCTTTGAAGAGGATTAATTCTTCGTCTGTATGACACAGCACAGAGCTTGCTGCAATGCAGACACCACGTGGTTGGGAACAAGCCCATGTACATACACATGCTCTCAAAATGTCCCTCAGGGTTTGGAACAATTTCCCCAGTAGCTGATGCTTCCCTACACCCTCCACCTAAATCTTCCCTTTGGATCTATTTGTCCTGTCAGTTTTTATGACTTAGTTGTCAGTTCATGACTGTCACTTTGAATTGGGTCTGATCTTTTTTGAATTCACCCCAGTAATTAAATGAGCATTTGTCAGTTATGTGCAACTGCTGGGTGCGTTCACTGGATCAGAGCATTTCTGTGCACCTGATCTGGCTCACATGGGCCGCACCCACGCCATGGCTCATCTCTTTCATAACAACTGCACATCTTGAATGTGAAAGGTTGCTGTTCATGGCCTTAATGCCCTTCACTAACACCCTGCAATGTCTCTGATGCAAAGAGTCTGTCGCACTGGAGGAATTAGAAGCAGAAACTGAGTGACCTTCCTGTTCAAGTTAGATTGGGCTGGGCAAGTGTGACAAGGAGAGAGCAACAAAGGGCATCTGAGAAGCCACCAAGGGCAGAGCTGCTGAGCTGGAGGAGCAGGGAAATCAACAGCCAAACTACCCAACAATTAAGTAGAATAAACAGTTGAAACTTGCTCCCCTTATTATTCAGGCTTCCCTGTACTTAGTTGATGCAGTGATGCATGCCAGTGGTATCCTTCCACGTGTCATGGAGCACGGCAGACTGCAAAAGCAGCACTGAGTGAGGCACTCTGCTGAGGGGCACTTTTTCTGTGCTTCCCTCTCAGTCTCATTAGTGCATCCAAGCAGACATTTCCCCATGCAAAATAGGTGAGTTAGTGGCACTGCTGAAGCCTTAAAGCTTATGAGACCATGGATGTGTTTCACGGCTCAAGGCTGTACCCCAGCAATCCCATAGGATACGTGTTAAATGTCTATCATTTGTATAAGCAGTCCCAGGGGACTCTCAGAGAGTCTGGCTGTGAGTGGATAAAAGCAAAGCCACCCCAAAAGTCTACCTGGATTTGTAGGGTAAGACAGGAATCCTGCATGCCCATCTGTCTGTCTTGTTGGTGGGTCCACTCCCTTTAATCAAGAGCTGACCCCTTAGTCAGAGCTGTTGGCATCACTGAGCACACTCAGCCTGGAACCTCTCCAGGGCAACTCGTCCACAGGGCCTGCCAGGCTGCCTGAGGGTTCCCTAGGGAGTGGTTTGGGGATGCTGCCAGGCAGCATCGTGTTTGCTCCAGCACCCAAGGACAAGGAGGCTGAACCTCTCCACCTTATGCAATTGGTGTCCCTTTGAGGCCTCTTAAATTTGTAGCAGATTAGGGTGCCAGTGAACCTCTCTGGCTTTACAGCCTTAAAATAATAATAATATAAAGGAATCTTGCTTGCCACTGAATTTGTTGAGATTTGATGAGTGTATTCATGTATCCAATATTTTAACTGCTTTCTCAGTTATAGAAGGAAGATAATAAGATTGTTCGTGTCCAAATATTTGGGGACAGCAAGAAAACTCCCACTGGCCTGTAAGATAATATAGACAAAAAATATAAATTCCACTTCGTATATGAACTCAGCAGTAAATTGTTGAAGAGCTGAAAAAGCTGAAAAAAAGCAGAAAAAGGGAATTTCATAGAACCTGTGAAAATAAGAAATCGGAGGAATTAAATTGTAATTAATTTCTTTCAATATTTCTGGGCTTTTGAAATCAGTTTTTAAAAAAAACTTATTAAAATATCCAAACCCAGAAGCCTATGGTACGGTCTAGTTAAGATCCCTTATCATTGCACAGGAATATTTTTATAAATGGCAGATCTTAATTTGTTGGGTTTTTAATTAGTGATAGCTGAACATGTACCTCTGTTTCATAACCTTAGCAAAATATTGTATTTCATATATATAGATCTCCTGTGGTGTATATATTCTACATAAAAAATATTTTTAAACATACAAAGTATTTAAAAACTTGTGTGTCATTATTGGAAGGAATTCTGAGGTTTTGTGTGTCACTTAACTATTATGTTCAAGTACTTCACTTTTCTTTCTTCACTAGCAAAAAAAGATTCAACTGCCCACCCAAAAATAGAAGAAAATAGCCCATAGCAAACTAAATATTGAATTTTTTTTCCATTTAAAATATTTTCTTCTAAGTACGTAAATTCTGAGGAGAAATATTTGGCTCACCCTTTAAGAGCAGGAGGAGCATTACTAATTGCTTCATGGTTTCAACATGCCTTTTGCTTAGAAATGTTATCCCTTTTAATGAGGAGATGAACACTGTCTGGAATGGCAAAATTCTTGCTGCCACCCAAGGAATTTGTATTTTCACTTCTTTCTTGCCCAGCATTGTCCTGTGGGTCAGTGTTATAACTGGAGCTGGTGCCCAGGAATTTCTGTCTCTTTGTCCAGAGTGAAGACGCCTACACCATATGGTTCTCCTCTGTACATTGTCTCCTGAGCAGTCCCTGAAGTCCCCACCAGCTGACACCCAGCTGAAGAATGCAGCCCTTCCTCATCTCCTGCTCCCTTTTCTGGGCAGGGTGGAAGCGCGTGAGAAAAAGGCTGTGAGGCGACATCCCTAACACAGCCTGACACCTCTTCATCCTGCTATTGTGCTGGTTCCTCCAACAGAGTTTAGAAACACCCTCCAGAAACTCAGTAGTTTCCCTTTCTAAAAATAGATGGTTGATTTTTAGCCTTCTGGAGCAGTCTTGGCAGAGAGCACGATTTAAGGGATCTAACACAATAGCTGAACAGGGATTCTCCAGCCCACCCATTGCTCTTGGATACAGTGTCCCAAGGATGGTCCTGAAAAAGGGGTCCCTCTCCCAGGACTCTTTCCACATCTACTAGAGCTCACAGGGATCAGCACAGGGCACTCCATCTTTCTACAGGATATGAGCACCTATTTTTCCTGTGAGCTGTTCCCCAGTTTTCCCAATGCAGCTCAGCACGTCAGGCAATTGCCTTTGATTGACCTTCATGATTTCACACATCAGCTGGTAACTCCACCTGCAAAGCACTATGAAATACCTGCTGTTGCAGCTATTGTCAGTGCCTTGCATTTGAGGTTTCTTTCCTTTCCACCTAATAGTCAAAAATCTGTTTGTAAAGCTTCAAAATACAATTTGAGGCTATTTGCCTGCTTTGGCCTAATGTGTGCTGTTGAGTTATAAGGCATAGATATGCAAACTGTAATATAAATGCAAATGTAAAGTGCTTTAAAGCCACAGGCTGGATCCTGAGGCTGGATGAGCATGCATAAAATCAGAATAGCGAGCTGTTTGCTAGCAGCAGGAGAGCTGACTCATTTCAGAAAAACTGTGACTGAGTGGCTCCATCAGAGCAGTGGCCTCTCCTGAAGAGCTGCAGGTCTCTGCAGGAGAAACTGGCTTCCATGATGTGCAGTTTGGTGTCATTTGGTTACCTGGGCTTGCTTAACACAGCTCAGGCTGGTACCAGCAAGAATCATTTCAGCCAGCAATGCAGTGCAAGTCAAGGGCATGTTCCTTAGGAAAAGATGGTCACACTGTGCTTCTCATCTGGAGACACCAGCAGCACATGGTGCTCTCCACAAACAGACTGATCAGTGCTGGTCTCAGCAGGGAGATGAAGGAATGCCTGCAGCTGTGACAGGTACCAGTGCAGGGCTGCAGCTCATACTTCAGCTGTCTCCAGTGGATTGATCTTATGTAGCTTGTGTGGAGAGCAGGAAGCCCATAGGCAGGACAAATAAGTTGCAGTGCTTCCACCTCCTGGCTCCCCTTGCTGCCACAAATGGATCTAAAGTTCAATTTCCAGATTAAATTTTCATGGTCTCTACTTTGTATCTATGTAACTCCATCTACTTCTCCCTTTTTACTTCACATCACCTTTTTTTCCCAAATTCAATCCAAAAAGCAGCAGGGATGGCAGGGATGTTCTCCTACTGATGAGAACAGTTGTGACTGACAGGAAAGGACGTATGAAAAGGAGAAGAGTCCACTAAACCCATGGAGCATAAAGTTCTGTTTACAGTAGGTTTGGCAGGGACATTGATTTGCATTGCATCAGCAGCAGTGCCAAGCACCAAGCCTTGTGTTTCCAAAATGTTGAAATTCATAACTTTTCCTTCCATGCAAAATTGACTTTTCCTTTCCATAATATGTGTCTCTGGTTCCCTCCATGGTGACCCTGGCTTCATGCTGTCATTCAGGAAAACTGCTGGGCATGTGTGCTCAAAGGGAACAGAGAAGCTCTGTAATTTTGGTTGAGTTCTCTGGTGAACTCAACTAAAATTATAGAGATTCTCCTATTTCTTCTGCTTCCCCTTGCTCTCACTGCCTGATTCCACCCAGGTGCATTTCTGCGTTCTGTCCATCCCCTGTGCACATCAGTATGGTTAGGATTTTGTCTTCTCTTCCCATTCAGCCAAATTGTGTTTAACGTAATTACCTGGTAATGCAACTTTTCCTCTTCTTCTGTGAATAGGAAGTGTTGGGAAGGATAAGGATTTGACAGGAAGGTCTCACAGATATGTATGTATAAGAGAAAAATCTTTGCATGTAGAATCTGAAGAAGGAATAGAAATGATAGCAAGTTTTGTTATAGAAGAAAAGAATTGCTGAGCCAGTCTTACTGGGTAACTAAGAAGGCAAAGAGCAAGTGAGTTGGAAGGGGTTTTTATGACTTAGAGCAAAGGATAAGTCCACCTCAAACAAAAGATGGTTTTACCAAGAACAAGATTTTTACAGGCAAACAAGAAAGCCATGTTGCAAGTAGAAAGAAAGATCTCAAAAATTTCCACTGGAAGAGGACTGAAAAGCAACTTCTAGCTTAAACTGTAGCATACTAACTTTTTGTGATTGGAAAATAGTAACATGAATATGGTAATGTTAGTAGTTAGGATAAGCTATAGATAATAGTAAGGGTATTGATTGGTTGTCATGTTTTAAAATGCTCTGCAATGAAAAGTATATAATGCTTTGTAACCAGAACTAGAGTGGCTTCAGACGAACCCACAGCTGTGGCTGAAAAGGCTGTGGGCTGGGCTCTTGTCACCCGCGACTCGTGAATTGCTGTATCATTTGGATATAATAAACAGTATTTTAAAGAACCACCTGGAGCCCGGATCCCTCATTTCACCTCTTACAAGGAAGGTAGCTGAAAGATGTAGGCAAGTAGCTAGAAGAGCCCAAAATACTAAGTAGGTGCTTGTACTCAAACAAAAAGAAAAGCTTATCCTTTGATAATGATATTTTATCTGAAGCATGACATTACCTGCACCACAGTAGTGCTATACCTTTTATTAGCTTTAGTCTATGCAATGAATGCTTAGGATAGGATAATGTGGGGAAAGGCTAGGTGTAGCCTTGCTATATGTAAATTTATTTTTTCCTCCCAAATTTCTTCACACTGAAGGAGTTAAAACTCTGGTCTCAATGACAGAAAAAGAACTGATTTGCTGTATGAAAAAAAGACCCTAAACCAGGCTGTAAGAAATTGAGTTGGCTTTTTCGTAGATATCTGCTCTAACCAGCTGCACAACAAAACTGGATTTCAAGCAGTATCTGCCATCTATTAAAGCTGCTATTTTGCTTGGAGCTGTAATGCTCAGCCCCATCTAGCACAGTCTGTCTGAGATTAGGGGATGACTCTGCATGTGGCAGCAAGGACAAACATCTTGCTTGTGACTTGGCAGGAGGACCTGGCAGCGCCGCAGCCGCCGGAGCAGCCCAGGGTGGAGGGAGAGGGAGCCCCGGCAAGCGCTGGAGAGGTGAGTGGTGCCACAGCCCTGCTGCCCCGGGCTCTCTGTGCCACGCCCGGGCTCCTTCTGGGCTTCTGGATCCCCCCTGGCAGAACCTCCCCCTTGCCTCCCGTGGTTCTGGAACTGCCGTGCAAGGAGCCCATCACTGTTCCCACTTTCCTGAGTTATTGGACAAAAACCTGAGCTCATCTGTTCTTGGTTTTGCCACTTCCTTATCTTGGGAATTTTCCATGAGTGACAGATGGACAGATTGCAAACTGCTGCCTGATTTGGGCTGATTTTGGGGTGTAAATGTACATATAAAAGTTAATGCTGTCCTATGGTTCTGTCATCACACGAAATACCTTTTTCTTGTTTGTTGCTATGCTTTAGAATAGATTCAGATAACAAGTTAGGTTTTTCTATAGATTTTTTTTTAATTAGTTAATGTAATTTTTGAACTGTTCTACTTGCAATGTTATTTTGAAGTCCTGGGTCAATTATTAGTCTCTGGACCAATTTCAGCTCTTGAACAAGGATGACTTTTTTTCCAACATGGACAGCAGGGGGAAACACTTCTCATGTGGTATTTCCTTTACAATTTCACTGTTAAGGCCTTTGTCTGTCCCTTCCACAAGTGCTGCATGCACCCAAACCCCACGGGTTTCAGCCTTTCTGAAGCTCAGGCTGTTTCCATGGTCCCCAGAGCTCTCAAAAATCTCAGCTACCTTACCACCCTCTTCCAGCCATCACCCCCACTGCCAGTCCCAGAAATGGGCCCCATAACCTCACTGGCTGCATGGCTGCACCAGTGCTAGGTAAAGAAGAGAAGACCCAGGAGCACAAAGCAGGACACCCTTACCAGTGGAGCCTGGCCTCACATTAGCCTGACTTCCACCATGTGTGAATTCACACCCTCATTTTCCCCAGAGATATGAGTTACAGCAGGAGTATGTCTGGTTTTCAGAAGGAATGGATAATTCATTTATTTTCTGCATCACCTATGGTCCTCATTGTTTTCTAGCTTTTTGTGGAATTTTGTGTGCTGACTATCAGCATTTATTTCTCTCCTAAATTTATTTATATATGTTTTCCACTGGAAATATTTACCTCTTTTCTTATCTGTCTTCTCTCACAGGGTGAAATTGAAGTTAATCCATCAAGTTAGAGAATTCTTGCTCAAAACAGACCATTCCAAGAGCATACATGGAAGTATTAGCTGACACCACAACAGGAAAACCCCACTGTCCGTAGACTAACCACATTCAGCTCTGTAGTCTTGCACTTGCCTCATAAAGCAGTTGTACAATGTATGTAAACCAGACTCCTCTATTGTAAGTAACGTGCAGGTGTGTACTGGGCTGTGTGTCTTTCCCAGCCTCTCTCCTGGCCTCCCAATTGCTTTGTATATTTTGTTTGGACTCACGAATCTGTGTCTTGCATCCATATGCACTGGCACTTGGGATCTCTAGGCATTGTGGAAATACTTTTTTTTTAACTAATAAAAAGTGTTTGAACAAGTTTTTTGTCTTGTCGGTTTTGTTTGCACATTTTAGATGTGGATCCTTCCAAACTGATACATTTTTCCTGTAAAAGTGCAGTATTAGAATACTCAAAACTGTAAGGGCCTTAAATCATGTTGTAAGAGATGAAGAATAATAAAAAAATTGTATTTCTGAAGACGATACTCTAGGTAGGCTGGCTTTCTCTCAGGCCTGAAAAACAAATATTTCACTTTTTAAATACTTGCCATGTTTAAGACAGAATGTGGAGGTGATATTGGATGAAAGGAGGCTTTTTAAAGGAATATGAAAGTGATGTTGAGCTCAGTTCATTCTGTTTGCACCAGAAAGCTTTGACAGTCCTGACATCAGGATGTAGCAAGCTGCCAGAAGCTAATTAAAGAAATGTGATGGGCACCAACCAACCTGATCAGAAGTGCACAGCTGCTGGCAGGGACAGGCAGAGTTGCTGTGAAATGAGTGAGTGTGAGGGCAGGTGCCAAAGGAGAACCTCCTGGTGCACCACAAACATGGAGCTGGCATTAGTTACAGCACTCTGTCAGGCTGCTGATCAGCTGCTGAGTGAGAGAAGCAGAGACCCTCTACATTCACTAGGGTAGAGAGCAGGAAAATGTTGCTCATTGCTGTAAATAATGGGCTAACTTTAAAGCACATCAGTAGGTACATGTGTAAAAATGGGTTCTTTTATTGACCTGCAGGAAGAGCACTCATGAATCCAGGAGAAGCCAGTGTAAACAGTTGAGGTTTAAACTGCTTCAAAATCAGACCCATAATCTTTATTAAGCTGCTAAATGATGAAGACTATGGAAGGTATTACAGAAGAGACTTGCTGTGGCATGGAAGCATCTAGCAAGTGTGCTGGCAGCCTCTCTCAGGTATAACAGTATGTGTAAAGCATTGCCTTGCAGAGACCACAGGATTCCCATCCCAGTAGGTCTTTGAGCTCAGCACAGAAAGAGAACAAAAGAGCCCTAGCAGAGGTAACAAGGCCCTTCGAAGGAAGATGCATCTGATATGTGCATACTCTTTCCTGATGTCCTGCAAATATCTGCCAATTAAACAGAATAAATAAAATTGAGGCCAAGGTAAGAGGACATCAAGAGATACTCATGCCCAGCAGCAGGAGGCTGGAGTCTATTCTCAGTGCTTGCTAGAGAGAGACAGAAAAACCTTTTGCTCAAAAGCTTTGCTTTATGGGGATACAAAGAGAAGTGTTTTGCAAAAAACAAAAAGGAGGTGAATGCTTTCACTATGTAGGGCATGCGTGGGAAGACGAGCGGGCTGTAACTCAAAGGAGGAGTTAGTTGCTCCTCATATGTCCATCTCTTAAAGCAGGCTTTGCCCCTGGTTCCAAGGACTTAAGCCAGGAGAGAATGGTCATTCCTGAGCTAAGAACGCCAGGCCACATCTCTGCCACACTGAGCTACGTGGCTGCTTGGGAGGGCAGCATGCACCGCTCTGTGTTTCCTTCCCTGTGGGAGGGAAAGTGTATTACACACCTGTATCTGGAACCGTGGGACTGAAAACACTGCTTCACAACTGCTCAACATTTGGGCACCAAAATTGTCCAAATGTTTCCTCTGCACTTGCCTGCCTCCCATGGGACAGCACTGCTGTGGGCCCAGGCAGGTGCAGTCCCTGCACAGGTCTGGTCGAGTCCCATGGCAGTCAGAGCCCAGAGAGCATTTATGCATCTTGCACAGGCAGTCACAAGTCTTGGAGACAGAGACCAGGGCATGCAGTTTCCTCCCAGATGAGTACCCTGTGTCAGTGAGTGGGAGCATGCTGTGCCCATGCAATGGCTCAGTGAGCCTCTATTTCCTCCCTGTCCCTTCCTCAGACTGGCTGTCACCCAACTGTGGGGAGCAGAAGCTAGAGGTCTGAGCCTCATTTGTCAGTGGTAAGAAAGGTGAAGACTTGTTTCTTTTGAATAAAAGGCTCTTTCATTAAAGAGACAAAATATTGTCTATTAATTATTCAACTAAACTTTATTATATATCTGCTTGGTTTGCTGAAGGGCAATCTGTGCTTTCAATGAGCATTCAGACAAGTGTAATCAGAGGTGATGGAAGGAAAGTGACAAGTGGAATGACAGAGGAGATGCATCAGAAACATCTCAGAGAAGGTACTTTCACTACAAAAGTGCTGGCACCCCCTGCCCCACGTAAGTGCTGAGGGAAGTAAACACTAGCAAAATCATTTTTTGCTGACAGGTCACAGTCTGGGCGATCAAGAATTTCTTTTACTCATCTCACCCTGTGAATTATTTAAGTGGACTTTGTACATGTGATACCACTGTCACACAAGCTGTTAACTTAATCCCACCCTGATGAGACAGCACCCAGCACAAGGCACATTGTGGCCACCATCTGTCCCCAGTGATGACTCTGGGCCCTTGCACTCTGACCTCTGAGGGGATCCAATGAGCCAGGAGCAGCTGCTGCCAAGTGTTGCATCAACCTCACCATACAAGTGACCAACAAAGTGCTGAAACCCACTTTTTTTTCCCCTTGTAACAGCAAAACTTCCTTACCGTGTAAAATTGCAGTTAAGCTTTATTGAGTGATTTGTTCTGATAGAGCTCACAGCCTTTGAGAGCTCCCCCCAGTTATGTCTTAGCCAAGGGCTGAAGGGCATGCAGGGCCTGATTTTTCAAAGGTGTTTGTCTGGGATGAAAGAGAGGAAGCAGTGGCTCTCTACAAAATATCCCAAACAGCATTCCACTAATTTAAATGCAAATCAGGTAATAATACACTTAAAATCCCACTTCATTTGAAAGTCCTATTTTTGTGTCTGCATAATGCATGTCCTAAAACTGAATTCACAGAGCACCCAATTAAAAACTGAAGGGCTGTTTTTTTAATACTGTTCTCTATAAAATCACATTCGCACCTCTTTGACACATTGAAACTTGGCTTAATGGCTTCATAAATGCATCGAAACCCTACCAAATCACAAGAAGATACTCCATACTGTTAATAGCATAGAAGAAAAAGCTCAAATTAAAACTGCACTTTCTGAATATCAGACAAACCCCTGCCCACATGAGTTTGAAGCAGCACAGTTTCTCTGTCGAGCTTTGGCACTGCTTTTTTGCATGGATCCCAGCATGCGAGGCAGCTCTACTTCTTCACCCTTCCCCTCCCACTAAGCCCACGTGGGTGGGCAGCACAGCTGTGTGCCAGAAGGGCAGAGCCACAGCACTCCTTCCTATCAGTGTGCCTAGAAAATAAAATATACACAGCTCTCATGTAGACTGTGCATCCCAGCCTACATCCTCAGCTTTCCCAGCCAGTCACTCCTGGGATAGGACCAGTCATTTATTTCCCCAGTCCTGTGCCAGATTTTAAGGTGGGAGTCAAACCCTGCTCATCTTCCTAGCCTTTTTAAGTTCAAGACCAGACAATGATTTTTTTGGTCTTTTCTAGTCCTGAATGCGCAGGATATCATGAGACTCCACAGCAGTCTCAGTATTTAAGGATGATTTCGGGTGCTCCAGACGACAGTAGAAACATGACACTTCACCTGGATGTTACCTCAAGATTGAGAAAGTAGAAGGTAAAGAACTCCGTTTGCACTGGCCTTAGGTTGATCTCATGTTTTGAAGCAGAGCTGACTGATAATTCCCGGAGGATGTTGCCGCCTGTGTAAAGGAAGAATCAGTTAAACCTACTTTTCTTTACTGTGTATCAGTATTTGAACTGAATAGCTAATTTAGCTTAATTAGAACAACTTTAGTTTGATCTCCTAAATGACTAACATCTGACTTACAATAATTATGAGCAAACCATTGCATTTCTTAAAATGGTTCTATTTCATGGCATAAACATCACATCCCTTCCACACTAATATCAGTCTCTCTTGGCAGCCATGAATGCTGAACACTTCACACTTTGTAAACTCCTCGAGTGATCTGTGTAGAACTTTTTAGCCCTGACACATCCTTGTGTTTGCCTTGCTGATGGACACCACACCTATATATAAATCCCAACCCTGGGAGAATTAAAATTTAAGAAAACGCAAATAAATTTTAACACTTCTTAATTAACCTCACTTGCCCGTTTTCATGCATAAAACATACGCTCTAGCTCTGATTAATTACGTCTGACTTTCATCAGGTAGTAGAGAAGAAGGGTTCATGTCACTGATATATGAGAGGGTGCTCAAAGGTGCCACAGAAGACGTGTGAAAGAAAAGGAAACCAGAACAATTTCTAATTTCCCTGTGGTGCTTTAGAATTAACTCACAGCTGTTTGGGCTGCCTTATTTGGAGTTGCCAACTATTTCCAGGGACATGGGTTGTGGAACACTCCTAGCACTTAAGGAATCAGTTTCTTTTCCACAAACACAAATAACTGCTCATCACAAGCAACAGCCTGTGAAGGTGCAGAACGTGCAGAGGAAGCCTGAGGACTCAGACACAGAGCAGGGTGTCAGAGGTGTCAGAGGTGAGCAGACAGTGCTGCTGGGGGCGCTGACACTTTCAAACTTCTAGTCCTGGCCAATGTCAGTGATGCACCCTGGCATTACCAGATGGAGTAATTTTTGGAATAGCCTGAAGTTGCAGGGCCACCTTGGCGTGTGGCTCTGCCTGCACTGTGGTACCTGCCCCAGCTGGCATGAGGCAGGATTTCTACCTGCAGTC